CCGTATCACAATTTGTGAAAGTAAAGATGTAACTGATTAAATAGCACATTAAAATTTTTATGTGGTGGTAATAAAGTTGATGTATGCAGGTAACTCAAGTGTGTGAAATTGGTACCAATAAAGGAAAAACAGGTGTTATCTTTTGTAATTTTTTATTAATCTTATACAAATTAGTTTTGGAAATAGCCGAGAGTCTGGCCACAGATTTAGCACTCTAAATTATTAGAAAAGCTAGAGTGGTTACTAAATTGAAGGAAAACTACTAGCTGTGAGTGAAAACCAAAAATTACGCAATTTTCATTGCGTTATTTACTGAATTTTTGTGGAGTATAACATAAAATATGGATAATGCAGATAACATAATGAATGTATTCAATATCTAATATTTGTAGTGGATATCACAGAACTCTGAAATTATATGAACACGAAGATGCAAGCATTTAATAAATTGGTAATACTTCTATGATTTTTCATGCCTTTTAAGATGAAACTGCAGTTTCTTGAAAGGCAACTTGTACAGAGTAATCTTTCATATTTCTTACTTTGAAGCACCTACAAGACATGTTTGAATTTTATGTTGACACCCACACAGAAAAGTAATGCAGCAAGATTTCCAAGTTTAGGAATGAGTTTTACAAAAGATATATTAACTTCAAGTACCCGAAGAAAGATATCTCTATTAAAGTGTGGATGTTGGCACATTTTATCAATATCTGGGACCAAATTACTCCAGAATGAAGCATTTTTCCTAAAAGATTATGTCCATGGGCGTGTAATTTTCAGCCACATTATTTACTAATGAGCATTAACAAATCTTGGCTTCATTCTCAACTTAATGGTGTACACCTGAATTCAATACTTAAAGTTGCTGTAGCTGTCATTTGCTCCAAACTTTGATGCAGTGTGCCAGCCTGACCAAGAGATGCTAAGTGCCAGTAAGCAGCAGTAAATGGCAACAGAGTGAAAGTTGTTATTATTATTATTATTATTATTATTATTATTATTATTATTATTGAGAAAATCCACTGGGGCTCTGAGGTGATGCAAACCCATGACCATGGCATTGCCAGCTGCATACACTACCACTATTGACTTGGTAAAAGTCATAGAACCAGATTTCTATTTAAATCACAGGAAGTCTGGAGACCCCTGAAGCCAGTCCAAGTTTTATGTACGACCCCCAAGCACTCTCGGTGCAGGCAAAGTAGTTCATCACCACACTCCCCAACTTCCGATACACACAGAAAATCTGTTTCAGTGTCAGGGTAGTTTACAAATGGAATGCATTAGGCAGTGATGTGGAGGAGGCTCTCGGCATCACTCCTCCCACAGCGCTAATTATTACAACAATCCTGCTATTATCACAATCCTGGTTATTTATATCACAGTCATGGGTCATCTGTAATATTGTCATCGCTAAATAATAACAATTATATATTTATTTTGACATTTTTCGGCGATGCTGTGGTCACAAGCTGAACAGCAATGCTGTTCGCTCGTGCTGCGTGCGCCAGCCTTGGTTGCTCCAACAGTACTGTCTCTCTCACACCTGAGAATATTGCCCAGGATTTTAAAAAAAAATGGCGTCTGTTTACAAGAGCCCTGAGGAAGCTACTGTGAACCCCGTGTAGCCGCGGGCTATTTGAATCAGGCCTGGCACCCTATGGCGTATATATACACCATGCGCACCGTGGGACATGTTACTCAGGGCGTATATATACGCCATGCGCAGTTTAAGGGTTAAAAGCACCGAATCACCTGCTGTGGTTGATTGTTCAATAAACCCTTGAACTATATGTTTAACACATCTCTAACCCTGTCCATGGAGGACAGAAGAAAATGTATATATGCTGGTTAGCATTGTAAATGTGTGGCCACATCTGTGGTAGAAAATAATAATAATAATAATAATAATAATAATAATAATAATAATAATAATAATAATAAAAAAAAAAAAAATGCCTACATAAACACACTACTTTACCAGATGGAATACAGAATTATTTGAACATTTTTGCTGATGATGCCAAGATAATAGGGAAGATAAGAAACTCAGATGACTGTCATGTCCTTCAAGACGACCTGGATAAAATAAGTGTATGGAGTGCCACTTGGCAAATGGAATTTAATGTGAATAAATGCCATGTTATGGAATGTGGAATAGGATAACATAGACCCTACACAACCTATAAATTATATGAGAAATCTTTAAAGAATTCTGAGACCTGGAACTTAAAGAACAAGAGGTCATAGATTTAAACTAAGTAAACAAAGCTGCTGATGGAATATAAGAAAATTCACTTTCACAATCAGTGGTAGACGGAATAAGTGAGGAGGTAGAAGAGGCCAAAACCATTGGTAATTTCAAAGCATTATGTGACAGTGTGTTGGGAAGACGGGACACCACGAGCGTAGCTCTCATCTTGTAACTACACTTAGGTAATTACAATTGTGTAATTACCAGTTGATTGACAGTGGAGAGGCGGGACCAAAGAGCCAAAGCTCAACCCCTGCAAGTACAACTAGTTGAATACTAGTGTGATGTATATCAATGAGAAAATCAACAAATGTGACTTTTCTTATTGATATACATCACATTAGTGTGATTTTCTGTTGTTGTTGTTATTATTATTATTATTATTTGTATTATTTATTATTCATTATTATTTATTATTATTTAGGATAAAAACCAACACTTATGTATTTGTGCATTTTAACACTTTCTATATCTTGACACATAATGCATCACCAATTTAAAATGTTTGTTAAAAATTTAAATTTTATCCGATCAATCTGCGAGTGGTTTTAAAATGAGCGCCTTTAAACTGCGCACAATTTGATACCAAAATGAAAGATGTAACACAAAACTTGATATCAGAACACTTGAATGGCTATAAATACGTTTTGGTCAAAATTTTAAAATATTTGTTAAAATTCTATATATTGTGCTATTATTATGGGACTAGTTTTAAAATGTGCACCTTTATATTGCATCTTTCATTTATACCAAAATGAAAGATGTAACGTGAAAATCAATGTCAGAACACTGGAAAGATAAATAATTTTGTGATGATGTGTGTCCAAAACTTAAAATATTTGTTAAAATTCCATTTATTGCTCTATTATTATTATGGGACTAATTTTAAAAAATGCACCTTTATATTGCAATTTGAGACCAAAATGAAAGACGTAACACGAAAATTGATGTCGTCAAACTGAAAGAGTATACACATTAGGTTGTGATTGTTGCTCGTTCATGGGTAACTTTAGGCTTTTCTGCTGGGAGTCATGCCGGGCTTTTGGACATTATATGCATATACCTCTGGAGGGAATTTAATTGCGAACACAATGATACCAAAACGAATGACATAGCATGAGAACTAAGGTGAGAAAACTGAAACGCGTATACACATTTTACTGATTTTGTGCGCTCACAGGTAACTTTTGCAGACTTTAGGCTTTGCTGTGGGAAGTCACACCAGCTTTTGGACATTTATATGCATATACACCTGTAGGGAATTCTATTGCGAACATAATGATACCAAAACGAACGACGTAGCACGAGAATTAAGGTGAGAAAACTGAAACAAATATACACATTTCAATGTGGCCGCGCCCTCGCCCGCACTGCCGGGAGCTTGACGTCAAAGTTTGTGGCGCGCATGCCGGGCGCATGAAAGTGTTAAGTAAAGATTTGAATGATGCCATTTCATACTCTCAAGAGCAACATGAAGATCTGTGTATATGGTTGTGATGAAACTTGCATCTTGACAACTAATACGGTTGCTGCCCAGGATCCAGTGCAGTAGGCTTGGTGTGGTACAAATCTTTACATAAAATACACAATTACATAAGTGTGGGCTTTTATCCTGTGTTATGTCTGTGAAAAGACATGACGATTACTTATTATTATTTGTATTATTTTACTTCTATTAATTATTATTATTATTGTTGTTGTTGACAAAATCAGTTGGAGTCATGAGGAGGATTTGAACCTGCACCTTGGTACTACCAAACACATGCTTTTAAGCACTGAATCATGATATGCTAATAAGTCATATAACCTGGGATTCGACTAAATCCTCAAGGGTTTTTGAGGCATCAAGCTGATATCAAATAGTTTTTACACATTCCCCATACAACTTGTGTGATACTGGAATTCTTCTCCCCAGTGCCCACACCAAATGTGCAAAGAAACCACATTAATTGGATGTATCGATGAGAAAATCAGTTGGCGCCACGGGGAAGCTTCAATGCTTCAGGCTGCATCTATGATACTTTAAAACATATGCCTTAAACCACTGAACTACAATATGCTGCTAATAATCCTTATGGCTCCAACTGATTTTCTTTTTGAACATCACATTAATGTGGTTTCTTTGTGCATTTGAAGTGAGTATGTGGGGAGGGGGAAAAGTGATATACCTCACCTGGTCACAGACCGGGCCGTGGAAACCTTGTCCCCTGGAATCACCACAAGGTAACTACGAGTGTGTGTGTGCAGGTAATGTGTAAAACGTTTTAGTGTCAGTTCGATGCCTCAAGAATCCTCAAGGATTAAGTTGAATTTCATTTTACATTACTAGTGTATTTTGGAGTACCCATGGTGCAGGTTCAAATCCTCCCATAACTCCAACTGATTTTCTCATTGACACATCATGTTAATGTGATTTCCTTGTGCATGATTATTTTGATATTATTTATTTATTTATTTATTTATTTATTTAAGAGAGCTTCACTTTTACCCCTGGAGAAGGAAGGTCCTCCTTCTCAGGGCTCCTCCTCATATAGAATCGTATGCTGTCTGGCCTTTGATACCAAATGATACACTCCTTCAATAGAGCTTAATGGGCACAATGTTTGTATATGGACCCATTGAAACGACTCAAGAGAGCAGCTGAGGAACTGGCTTGGAAAGAAGCATTTAATTTTACTTTGTTCCCCTAATTTTGTGTAATGTTTCTTCATAGAGTTCATTAATTGCTCTTTATCCTCTTTAGGTTCTATACTGCTTTAGAAACTGCCACGCAGAGAGCGGATGCATATGAAACTGAAATTTCGAAAGAAGTTCATAATGGGCGACTTTTCCGTCTTCTTACAAAGCTGAACACTATTGTTGATCGTCCACAGTGAGTTTTTTTCTCTACAGTACTTGATATCCCCACTGAGAATACCTTTATGGATTTTAAAGGAGAGAGATCTGTCAGTGTAAGCTTTTAGTACACATCATATTGACGGAAAATTTAAACACATACCATGTATGATTATAAAGTACAGTACAGGTATACAGTCCTCTTGGTGTAGTGGTAAGACGCTCACTTGGTATTTCGCAAGTGCTTTGTCCTGGGTTCGTATCCTGGCCGGGGAGGATTTACTGGGCAGAAATCCTTAACTGTAGCCTCTGTTTAACCTAACAGTAAAATGAGTACCCTGGGTGTTAATGATTTGGCAAGGTCATATGCCGGGAAAAATAGGATTAAGGACTTGCTCAAAACCCTATGCATGCTAGTGGCTGTACAAGAATATAAGAACTCTTGTATATATAAATAAAAAAAAAGTTATTGAAATTGTTGCCCAAAAGTCAAGTACAGTACTTTAATTTGCTCTTTCTGTTATATCTTTAGGAAGCTTCATATTATTGACAAATCATAAAGCTGAGCTTCCTATTAATATTGGGCTGTGTAATCCCATGGTTGCCCTTTTAGATTCATTTTAATGCAAAAATACTCCTTGACAATATATTTTTACTTAAGCAACTTCCCCAAAGTTTATCATCTAAATTAATTAACATTCCTTATTCGTCAGAAGTTTCTATTTTGTAGAATTGTTAATATTTTACATATTGCAATGGTAGGCAAGTTAGGAATTATGCCTATCCTTTGGCAAGTTATCAAATTGCTTTAAAGATATTTTTTACTACATTTTAAACACATTTATTACTAGTGTTCTACCTGTTCTTTACGATTGGCAGCAAATTGTGTGCTGAGTTTTACTGAACTAAATTACTTGATTGATCCTGAAATGCTTTACACTGGTGAATGCTATATAATATAAAATCTTATGATTGTGGTTTTATTTAAAGCCATTTATATTTTGACAGGCTCCACTTAGATACATCATGGTGCGAGACTGGAGATAGATACATGTTGAAGCTCTTCCGAGATTATGTCTTTCATCAGGTGAGTTATAAAGTACCCAAGAATTAAAAATGTTAATGATAATTGACTGAAAGCAACTTTCATTTGTTGAGTAACATAAAAAAACCAATGTTGAATGTAATGAAATGCTTCTCTATGAATGAATCCTAGTGGCTCCTTGAAGTTATCTCATGGAGATTGCAAATGGGTCACAACAGACGTGGGAGTCGTGTTCGTTCTACCGGGGACCAGTGCCAAAACTTGTGAACATTGTGGGCCCGAGAGTACAACACTGGCTCGCTAGATTTGATGACAATGTGAACATTTTGGGAAATATAAGCCTTGGAACAGGGGTCTGAAGAAACAGGGTGCCTACTAAGTCAGGACTGGTGACCCACAGGTAGCGGCAAAGTGTCTCCGCTAGACACAACAGATAATGCAGCCAGGCCGGACCAACCAAATATCAGTTGCTAGCAGACCCCCCGCATCCTTTCCCTTTTCAAAAGCTAACGACTCATTCTTCGTCTGAAAAGAAGGCTACAAACAACCAACCCACCCACCAGGGCTGAAGGAATAAAACCCCCTCTATCTGGAGAAAAGCCTGAAGCTCTCTAACCCTACAGTCAGAGAAAGAGCAATTTTTTTTTGTTAACCTGTCAGTGATAAAGACTGTACCCAAAAATCAAATGTGAGTGATACAGAGAGTGAAAATCATAAACTAGTGAGCATGTTGGAGGCTTACTCCACTGCCACTGCTTTGAGTCTTATGATAAACTCCTCCACTGCTGCAGCATACTATTACAGCAGTTTTGCCATTTGCCTTTACCCCATTTTTTTTTTTATGGTAGAAAATATACACAAAATTCAGATATAAGTAAGAATGAAATTGGTGAACCAGTGAGCATCATGAAGGTTAGTCCTAACCCACCATCGCTGTGTCCTCGGTCTACTCCACTACTGCCACAGTGTCTAATTACAGCAGCTGGGCTATCTGCTGTTCCTGAAGATGACTTTTATTTTTAATTTAGTGACCACGACTCCGAGACTAGTAGCTGTTTCGTGATGTAACTAGGTGGTGGAGTACCATGTCAGCATTCTCACCTTGCTAAACGATGCCGTGTGATGTTGCTTGGGGCAACTGAGGGAAGATACGCTTCAAGTTCAAATGTTTGTGCCTATCTTGTGCATGTTAGAAGAGATTCACCTCAAAGCCAACCGTTTTGTTGGAGGTCCCGTGGTGGTGGCACCCCAACCAGGACGGGTGTACTCCTGTGGGATGATTGTGCTGACTTTGTTTCACAAATACCTACATTTGATGATATAGATGTAGGTGTTACTGACATTTTTTCTTGTACTGGTAAATATATATTTGTGAATTTGATGATTTTACAGCATATTTTGATGTACCGCTAGTGAAACATATTATTCAGGAAAAGAATACATACATGACAAAACTCATTGTAAAGGCATCACCTTATTCACATTTGCAGCATTAAAAAGACAACTCTAGCTGAACTGTGTGTTTTTCTTAAGTTATGTATGATGAAGGATTCTGTGAAACACCTACAGGATTATTAGAAAAAAGACAGCAGTGTTCTGACCCCAATTTTTGGGAGATACAGTATGTTTCATGACAGGTACCTTCTGTGTCTTTATTTTGAAAATGTAGTGATAATGAGTTTCCTGTGTCGAGAATAATGAGTTCCCCAGCATAATGATTATCGCTTTGTCAGCAGTTCCACGCTGACGTGAAGAGGTCTGTCTGCCTCAGATAAAATGGAAGGACACATCATAGACACTCCATCCCCATGGAAAAAGGATGAAATTAGGAGAACAAATCTACAAGATCATGGATACATCTTGCTAGAAAAAGCTTGGATAAAGGAAACATATCTTGTATGGGGCCTGGCAGCTGAGTGGACAGCACTTTGGATTTGTAGTCCTGAGGTTCTGGATTCAATCCCTGGTGGAGGCAGAAACAAATGGGCCAGGTTTTTTTCACCCTGATGCCCCTGTTACCTAGCAGTAAATAGGTACCTGGGAGTTACAGTTGCTATGGGCTGCTTCCTGGGGGTGTGTAATAAAAGGAGATGGGGGACACTATGCCCTGAAATGATCTTGAGATATACATCACTTAAGTCAACAGATATAGCTTTACTACACAAGAGATAGACCAAGCATTGGCTAAAAATATTGACCAGTCTTACTAACATCACACATAATTAAGAGTTTTTGAAAGAGTGTATAGGAATCAGATCTCCAGTTTTATGGAAAACAATGACTTGTACAACCGATGTCAACATAGATTTAGAGTGGTAAGATTATGCCAAGTTATAACAAGTTAATCCTGGCCCTAGGCCAGGCATGGGGAGTAGAACAACATGCAAAATCCATGCCAGGTATAATCCAGGTATGATTATGGTAAAAAAAAATGTATTTACTGATGTTAATATCTACAGAATTTTGTCAGTAATCGAAAGAGGTGAGAAGTTCCCAACTACTGACACTTTCTTTTATGGACTGGAACTTCATCTGGCTTCTTTCATAGGGAGGGCTATATTTCTTGAGCCAGCAAAGTTGATAAAAGCATGCAGGAGGCTTAGCTAACAGGTTGGCACAGATACAAAGTCTTGGGCTGACCTTATCCAGCCCCACTGCATTACCTATGTCAAGTGATTTGCTTGGATCAAACTGGGAAGGTTAACATTCTTGATCAAAGACCTGCATCTTGGCAATAAAATGGTTTGCCAATAAGTCAGCATTTTTCTAATTACTAGTTGCAACAGTCCCGTCTTCTTGGTTTAGTGATGAGATTGTCCTCAGATGAGTTTAGCAGTCTACGGGGTGTAGTGGTAAGACACTCGCCTGGCGTTCCGCGAGCGCTATGTCATGGGTTCATATCCTGGCCGGGGAGGATTTACTGGGCGCAATTCCTTAACTGTAGCCTCTGTTTAACGCAACAGTAAAATGTGTACTTGGATGAAAAAAACGATTCTTCGCGGCAGGGGATCGTATTCCAGGGACCTGCCCGAAACGCTACGCATACTAGTGGCTGTACAAGAATGTAACAACTCTTGTATATATCTTAAAAAAAAAAAAAAAGATGAATATCCCTGCTGATCTTTAACCAAAGACCACTAGGCACTGGATCTAACTCTTCCTGATGCAAGATTTTCTGTTTGCTAATTCCCATCTGGAGATAACAAACCCTTGAAATTTCATTTGATGACAGGCTCGTCTGTAAATGTTCTTTTACTGAGCAGAAGCATGCCTTATTTATTTCCTCCAGGTCTTGTCTTTGGCATTAGCTTCTACCTGGAATCATTTAAAAACTATGGCTGATCAGTAGGATTGGGCACATTCTTGGCAAATAATATACTTATGCTGAGATCCAATACAGTATATGATGGGGAAAGGCATTTGCCTGGTTTTTAACATCACACTGAAGCAAGGTATTCCACTCAGTTCTTCTTAGCTCTGAACAAAGAGCTAGCCACGTACATTTGTCTCAAATTCAAGTTGTGCGAGTTGATTCTTCACCCCGATCTGTTGAGATGGCTAGTGTTAGAGAAGACAGCTTAGTGGTCTAAGGAGCCGACAAATCTAGAGCTGTGACACATTTTCGTAAGTTTGCAACCTTCAGGTGCCTTATAGATGACTTCCCTAAGCCGTCTTAGGCAAATTTCAGAATAAAGTTTAAGTTAATAATAACCAGTTTTTATACTTTGGAGGCATAAGCAATCAGAAAATAACTACCCAGGAAAAATCACTTATGCAATGAATAATCATACATGGTTTTGACTTCTCAACTGTACAAATGTCATGTGTACACCCATCTAGATTACTGAATCAAAGTATGGTGACCTTACTTTCATAAGGTCATGGCTGCAATGGAAAAGTTCAATACAGAATGACAAAAATCATCCCAGAACTAAGCCAAGCCTCATACCAGGAAAGGCTGAGGACCTCAGGACTAACTGCATCATAAATCATATACTGTATGACATTTGAGATCTCTAAAATGCTAAACAAATTGGAAGACATTTATCCAGACACTTCTTTGAAAGGTCCAATATTTCTCACAAGGGCAACTGCTTTAAAGATCGAGTCACAATGTAGGATTCTTTTTCACCCAAAGTGCAATAAACTTATGGAATTACATACTGAAGCAGTAAATGCAAAATTTAGCCGAAATATTTTTTCATGGATAATTGGGCATTTTTGACAAGCAACCTTCCCCTCCCTGTCCAGCTCGTTGCTGCCGTGAGGGGGCTTGGTGGGCAGCTGCCAGTGTGTGATGCTCCTTGGGGCAGTCCCCTGTCCTTTTGTAGCCTTGTGCTCCTGCTGCTGTCCTCACAAATTTTGCTGGACGCCTTTTCCTTTTGTTTCGTTTTTTCGCCCCCCCCCCCCCTCTTCTCCTTTCTCATTGTCATTCCCCACTGACCTTTTACCTGTTTTGATTCTTTTTCGACCTTCTTTTATTTTGATATCTGGGTATTTGGGGAGGCACCTGTAGAACTGTAGTACCCAACGTCTCGAACGCAGGGACCCCTTTTATTGTCAATCCTCCTTTTGTCACTGAAGTCGATCTCGACGGACTAAATAAATAAATAAATAAATTATATATATATATATATATATTTATATATATATATATATATATATATATATATATATATATATATATATATTTATATATATATATATATATAATATATATTTATTTATTTAGTTAGTCCGTCGAGATCGGCTTCAGTGACAATATATATATGATATCGGTGACAAAACCGAAACCGCGCACATCATTTATATATGCTTCCGTGTCTAGCGCTATAATTTAAATGCCCCGCCTGGGATAGGGGCAGCTATAGTACAGCCATGACCGATAGTTGCCAGATGCCACCTAGAAAAAAAATCCAGGCCAACATTCTTGGGTGTGAGAGCATCAGTATTGAGCAAGCCACCAAGGCTGGCGCACGCAGCATGAGCTCACAGCACCGCTGTTCAGCTTTTGACCACAGCATCGCCTACAAATTCCATAA